CATTTCTGAGCACAGATAAACAATAATTAATTGCTGATATGAAAAGGATCTATAATGACCTTTGGAATTATTCACTTGACAAAACATAAGCTATAGTACACACCAAAACATTCTATAGGAGCAGAAAATCCTATTTCAAACTGTGTCATTTGATTGACTAATGGCATCAGATTTGTATACTGTAGCTCCATCTTTTCCAGCAGATACTTAGTTTAGACTGAGTTCAGCTTACCTTTGATCTTTTTTTTTTTTTTTTTTTTTTTTTTTTTGAAGGCTGCTTTGTGGAAAAAGCAATTAAAAAGAATGTAGATGGAGCACAAAACCTGAGGTCACAGAGCATTATTTTGTAAAGAAGAGTTGGCTACATTCACTTAACTCCTTGTGATTGATTCCTGAAGAGCTGGAGTAACTGTACGGGCTTCTAAGCCATTATGTTATCTAATTTTAGCCATTAAAGCTGACTTTCCATCTTCTTTGGACAATAATTTAAGACAAGGTTAACTTTATTTCTTAACAAAAGACAAGTAGCTAGGTACTTATGCCAAGAGGAACTTGAAACTTGAACAGAAAGACTTACCATTCAGACTTGTTAAACAGAGGGCAGAGAGGTGAGACCAGTTCTATCCTCCTGATAATTTAACTACATATGCTTGGCTTTAGCCTGTCACTTAAATGTATCTGACAGCAGGAGCTAGCAAGGAAGAAGAGTAGTTATAAGGACCCTGAAGATGGCTCATTTCTTTTATGTTTTAAGACAGTAAGCTTTCTCAGAGCCAAAAGGAAAGGCATAATTGAGTGGGGTGGGAAAGGAGGTGTCTTTGGTACATGTACTTTGTTGGAAACACCTTTTTGCTTGTCCTTGAAATTTGGGGGCCTTTCTAATGGTGTGTCAGAGAGTAAAACCACAAGATGACTGGGAGAGAGCAGAAGGCAGATGTGGATAAGGTCAAACTTGTTCAGCTACTTAGGTGGACCGTGCAGTTTTAACACATGCAGATTAGTGCCAAGTGGCTATTCCAAAAGCAGAAAAACACTTGGCTTTTAAGATGCATTTCAGTAGTCCACAACTAGGTAGGTAGTTTAATGAAGGTCACAAATCAGAGAACTCAACTATAACAACTCGCCCTTGCCCCTTCTGTTTGTGGAGAACATATAACCTGAGTCTGAAATGATTGATATTCTTGCCAGTGAAGCACTATGTAGATGTGAGGAGAAATAACCTTGTGTAAGAGAGACAATCAAAAGCAAAAATGTAATCAAATTTTTAATGTTGTTTGTTATCCAAAAATAACAAGTACTTTTAAGTTTCCCAGTGAATCATCCCAAATACTGTCAATTCAGTTAGATTAGACTTTCACCATAAGTTTCTCCAGGAAAGAGATGTATGGTTATAAACTCACTGTAATTAGTATATCCTCTCAGGGTATTAAAGCTATAGGAATATTGACATAAAAGATAGATTTTACTTTTTCAAAAGCCTGTATTTGTTTTCATTTGTTGAGGGAAAAGCACATATTACACAAAGATAGCTTTTTTAGCATGCCAGCATATTTCCTGCTGACAGCATAGTGGAGTAGAATAGTGGTTGTTGCTACTATTATTTTATTCAAAAAGTCCTTATAGATTCCAGAGTGCTTCTATACTGTGTAATTAGATCATTTTCAGATAATCAGATCACATGTGTAGTAGATGGATTTTTTTTTTTTTTTTGACCTTGTAGAGCAATTCTTTAAATACATTCCATGTAATTTTAAGTACCAACTTGAACTTTTTGTTTTATCTGGCAATTATGAGTCTGTAGAGGTACACATGGTGTTCTGGTCTAATGTATAAGGGTAGGGGTTTAGAAGGTGTATGAAAGTAGTATATTTTCCTCCTCCTCTAAATAACCTTTTTTTAACATGCACCTACTGTAATTGCTCAGTAGTGGGGCATGGATGACTATCTATACACTCTTGCAAAAGGATATTAAAAATGCTTTATTCTTAGCATTATGTTAAACGCAATTACCTCTGTTTTCTTACGTACCCCTTCATGATTCATCCATATAACTTCACCCAGTTCTTCACATTTTTCTTTTACTTTTATATGTTACCTATGTTACAATTTTTTTATAAGGAAGGGGGTCAATATTTGAAAGCAATAGAATTAAACTTTTCTGATTACTCTTTGCAATTACTAGCTATGAAGATCAAATCTCACTTTCAAAAAGCACTTCACTTATCTTACTTACACTGATAATCAAGATTTTGCTTTGAAGGATCAAGCTAAAAATTATCTAAATAGCTACCTTTCATTCTTTTTAATGTCAAAATTACTCACTTGTGGATGACTTAATGGTCTTTCACTGGTGCTGGCCTAGTTTTCTTGTCTATAAATGATGGAGGTTTTGTTTCTTCTGCTTATACAACTCATTTTTTTGCATCAGAACTATTATGCATAACTCTGTACTACTTTGATTCTGCTGGAGATGAGTCATCAGCAAAATCCAGACCGTAAATGATCATGTAGCTGCAAATATCTAAAAGGTTATTCAAACTAATAGTAATGTACTGCACTGTAATATGGTTTGGTGAAATAAAATACGTGATAAAATTACAACAAATGATTCTGATGATGTCATGGACATTTATCCATTTCTGAAAGTACTCCTGTATATCTGGTCATTAGGTAATATATATATACACACTGCAGAATGGGTTTAAAGGTACTATGTTATTTCCTTTTTTTAAACAAAGATTTGTGAAAAGGGAGAATACTCAGTCTTATTTCTGCTTTTTAAAGCAAAAGAAGCCCCTAAAATTACAGCACGAAGAAACATAGATCTGTCAGGAACAAATTGTTGGGCAAATCCTGTTTGCTTCTACAACCACAGCAAGTTGCATAAGGCAGAGAAGTAGTATATGTTGATTTGTAAAAGTTTGTTGCCAACCTGATTTGCATTCTCATGGGATAAAAAGGAAGCATAGTGTTAATTAAATTACTGTAAACAGGGTAGACAAAAATACATCTGGAGAATACTTGATAGTTCATTGACAGATGAATGGCTGTCTCAAATAAGGACCTATTGGAATATATCTTTCAAGGTCAAGATAGTATTTCTCTCCACATTGTAGAAGATGGAACATAGTGAATGGTTATGAAAACTGTGGACTGCAGCAAGCAGAATGGTTGTAAACATTGGGTGGTTAAGTGCTGAATACAAAATTATCTTTTCAGAACAGAGAGACTTACCAGCAAGATAAAGCTCAATAAGGATAAGTGGCAAGTGATTTTGTTTTTTAGAAAAGTAAGATGATAATCAAATGTGCTAATAAAACCCAGAGAATAACAGCAGTACTGAAGAAGAGGCTGTAGGATACTACTGCATCATACTAAAAGAGTCATGGGAATATGATGTTGCAAGAAAGAGAGATTTCCCTCTAAGATCTGTAAACAAGAGCATGATTTGAAAAGACATACATGAATACATTTCTTATTTGACATCAATGAGCTGAAAAAAAACGCTGTATCTAGTCTATCCATGTTTCAAGAAAACTGGAGAAAGCCCATACAAGTGCAATTAGAAGTAAATGTTTTAGAAAATGTGACCTATGAATGTATTTTAAGAGAGAAATTGTTTAGAAATAGTAACAGTGACAAAGGATATATCAAATTGCTTTTAGAAGTAATCATTATTGACAGACTATGATCAAATAGTCTTCACATGCATTGTAAATTAAAAAAAAAAAAAAAAAGAAAATGGCTTACTTCACAACACATGAAATCTAGATTAACAACTGGAAAACATTCTTTAAGAGTAGAGTACTGGACCACATTACTTAAGCAAGTTGCTGAGGTTCAAAGTTAGATATGCACTTTATTTTTCCTCAGAGAACAAGGACAGATTATTTGATCTCCTCGAGCTTCTTAGGGATTACACTTCTGACTGATATTATGCCCCACCACTGAAATGACTGAAGTTCTCAACAGTGCTTTTGCCTTTTTGTCTTTCATAATCAATTGAATGTCTGAGAAAAAAAACAAACCAAACCAAACCAAAACAAAGAAACCAAAACAAAACACAACAAAACAAGAAATAAATAGATCTGATAGGCTGAGGAAAAAATAACCTGTAAAGTCCTGAACAAGTTCTCTATACATTTTTACTCTTTTGTCAATAAGCATTGATACCAAGCAAATACAAGTCTGATGAACAAAGCTATTTGCATTCCATCATTTTTTCCAGATGAATTCAAAGTCTGATTGTTTTTTTCATCTTCTAGACCTCTACCTTCAAAGTGCCTTTCAGTGTTTGGTTGTTAATTTTAATTTGTTTTTTTTTGGTCCACTTGAGACACGGGAATCCAGAATTAAGCTGGCTGCAGACAATCTGCATTCTGAAGAATCATGCGTCTTTTCATAATTCCCATTTGGGCACTTAAAAATGGTGATATATTAACTTACTAATGAAAACTTTGGACTAAAACCCACTGAATCAGTAGCATAAATGCACATACCTACCAAATTCCATCTCTATGAGAAGACAAAAATTCTACATTTTAGATATGATTATCAGACATGATCAACAATGCTAGGGATTCACCTGTAACTTGTAGAAAGTGAAACTACAATGAGAGATCTGCTTTTTACCCTCAAATAACAAAATCTGGAAATATATTTGCATTCCAAACCTAAGATCTGCCTTCCTCCATCAAATCATCAACCACATAGAATTTATCCTTTTTTTTTTTTTCTATTGTTTTTTTCCTCTCTCTTTTTTTTTTTTTTTTAAATGTGTTTACAGGAACAGAAGGGAGAGAATCAGCATTAGAGGATGACTAGATATTGCCTTTTAGATTCTGAAATAGTATTGCTCCTTCCCAAAGGCATGAGTTGAGATGCACATTTCCAACATACATGGAAGAGGATGAAAGCAACAAAAACAATTAAACCACAATAATTAAAAATCCTGTAAAAAGGCTGACTTATTCTTTCTATCCACAGTCCTTTTTCTCTTTTTCCCCACATGGCAAATCTTGAAATTGAGAAGATTTATACTGGATGTATTTATTCAAGCTAGCACTCAATCAGTGCTCCTAGCTGCTACAGTAAGACAAAAGGTAAATATCAGGTTACTGTCCAAATAATTGTCTAATACTTGTTGGCTACAGTTCCTCCTTAATCCTTGTAAAACATCCCTATAACTATCACTGAGCATTCAGAACAAGAGTATAATAACTAAACTGTGGAAGTTATTCTCTCTTTATACCACTCAGATGTGTTCTATTTGCCTTCAAATGGGTTCTTATTCGTTCTCCCAGTCTTTCTTTTATATACTGAGATCTCCCTGTTTTCTTAGCATGTTCAAACAGGCTAATACTTTCTTGTATTTTTCTATTTTGATTGGGTGGTTCAGGTCTGAAAAGCTTACTATGCAATAATCATGCAAATGAGCATTTTGTGTCATTACACAAATACATTGTGTAATACGATGTTCAGGGAGCCACTTATTCTGTGGCATTTTCTGTTTGGAATAATTGCATTTTGCATGGAAGACTAAGACAGAGGGATGAACTATTTATAGCTTGTACCTGTGTAGAGTCACCATAGTTTTGATATGGTGTACATTTTAAGAGAATCAATATTTAAATACATACTTTGATGAAGATGGTTTATTAACATGCTGCCCACTTCCACAAAATGGGCTGAAAAGGCTATTAAAGCTACAAGCAAAATAGTTTAGCATTATAGCATGTTATACAGCATCACCACCTAGTTTGCCATAACTTGGTGCTAATTTGTGTCACCCATTGTCTGGAAGGTGTGGGTAGAAAACAGGCAACACCACCGACTGGATGGGCTGTGAATGTGAGGTCTTCTCTACAGAGAGAATATTGAGTCATTCAAGAATAGGAAAATAAATGAGCAAAGAAAGTATTTTAGGCTGTGGGTATTTGAGTTGGGAGAAACTGCCTTGTTAACACACAGAGGAGAAATCAGCAAGAAACAGAGACTCTGTGTACGTAAGGAGCTGCATGACAAATTAAAAAAAGAGCTGCTACCCTGCTTAAGCTTGGAGTGGGAGAGATTTAAACCAGGAAGGTGGAGAAGTGTAGACCGAATTCAGAATAGATATTTTTAATTCCTCAGAACTGAAATTTTCCCCTGGAACTTCATCCTCAATATGATAAAAGAGGGAGAGGAGACTTAGCCCTTCCGGCATCTCCAGAGCATGTGAGAATAACTGACCAAGTTCTGTTGCTTGGAGACATTTTCTACCATCTCCTGTTAGTCCACAGGTCTATCTATGGCTTTCCTGACTCTTGCTAGTATTGAGACAAGAAGAAAAGAGGTTATTTGAAATAACAAAGCTGGGGCTAGTCTTCATATAATTCCCTCCCATCCCTTCCCTCCCCCAGTTCTGCATGTAAAGTGCTCCTTTAGCTGTATTGTCTCAAGTAGTCAAAATCCTTTGGACAGAAACAAGAGATGACTACAGGATTTTATGCTTTTATATTTTTCCTTTAAAAAAAGATACAAATCCAGAAAATGTTTGCATAGTCTCCATGAGTGGACAGAATGTTTTCTTCTGTGCTTATAAGTTTTGCTGTTGCTGTGGAAAATTACTTTTGTCATTCCTACTTGGGTAAGACTTAGAAGTAGTGTTGTAAAGCCATAACACTGTGGAAACTTCAACATATACTTTGGTCTCCTTCTTATGGTAATCTTACTGAGATAAATGGAAATATTTATAGTGTGTGAAGCCAAACGTGCAGAATACTTCTCAGCTATTTAACTGCCAAGAATTTGTATTACTTAACACTATACATGTATCACTTTGCATAAGATAATTTTTATACTGTATGTAGGAATAGCAATATACACCAAAAGTACTACCTCCTTCATTTTGCAGTTTCATATGAGAAATAAAGTATTATTGTTGCTTTAGGAACCACTTTAGTAATCATAAGTCAAATGCCTTAATGTAAATTGTAGTAAAGATGTTCTTGAATAGTTTGAGTAGCAACAGACATTTTCATGAATTATTCTGACATTATGTACTGTGAAACATCTCTTCATACTCTTACTATGCCTCCCTTAGATTTCAGAGGAAAGAAGAATACTTTCTAGTCTTGCACTGTTTGCCTTCTATTATGCTGGTAATTTTCAGTTAAGACTTTTTTTTTTCTTTCTTGCTTTGGTTTTATTACAATTATCTATACTAGATTTTAATTTAATGTACTTTTTTTGTTTGTTTGACTTTAACAATTTGTAGAACTGCAAAAAAGACTTGAGAATAAAGATCTCATATTTTTAAAATAAACTCTCCTCAACAACATATCTATTCAACTTATATTCATAGCTGTAATTACTGAGGCATTGTCTTCATCAATTTCTTTACAACATCACAGCTGATTTATTAGTGTTTACTGATTCTGTAAGAGTATTTTCTAATTCTGCAAATTTCAGTTCTAAGTTAAACAAGGCAATCACACCAGAAGCAGACAATGTAGGGTTAAGATCAGGTTTCTACTGTGAATAAAGCAAAACCTTAAAACTGATAACAAGAAACCCAAATACAAACTACAGTTGTTTTCCATTTTAATGAGGTACTCCTAACGTGGAAAATTATATTTTGCAATTCATTATGAAATACTCTACTTTTGCACAGTTTTCTTTCAGTGCTTATTTTGCATATGTTTTCAATACCTTCCATGTTAATTTGACTTAAGACGCTTATTCTGAATGATAATGTAACAAGAAGTAAATGTAAGCAAGTAATTACAGAAGCTGCATAAATGCTTCTCCAGCTGTAGAATCTAAGAACACTTTGTTGCTAAAAGCATGTACTGTGGCTAGTTTGTAATGAGGACTATGAAGTACCATTTGCCATTGTGAAAATGCACCACTGTCTATAAAGAGTTCGATCTGAGAGTGTTGTGGCAGAATGCATATCGCTATGTTATAAACTCACTAGCACAGGAACACATCCTGAATAGTTTAGGCAATTGCAATATGCAATTGCAGATATACAATTAAGCTACCTTAGAAAAGGCAATAAATTTTGAAACCAGATATAGCAGTTTGTTTAATAAATCAATTACAAAAGAATTACAACAAAACTATCTTTCTATGGTTTGCTTTCCTAAAGCCACCTCCTGCTCTCTTCCCTGTTAGGTGCGTGACATTTTGCAAATACAAATTTGCATTCCCAGCAATGGGAAAACTGAGTCCTAAAAACATAGAGTTTGATTTATCATAAATTAATATTAGATGAGAGAGGATGGGAAGCAAAGCAAAGAAGTAAAACTTTGAGATAGGATTCACAGCTCAGGATTTCCTGACCCTGATTGCTCTGGGCTGAGCTCTGATTTCTAGGTAGTAGTGACATGATCAGTCATTTCTCGATAATGAAGGAAAAGTAGGTGATAGCTCTGATAAACTCTTACTTTAGCTGATTTTATCATCAGTCACCTATTCTTCACTTGCCTTATGGGTGGGACTGATCTCAGTGTCGCCATTTTTCTTTCGGCAAGCAATTTCATTTTCCTGAGTAGCTGCACAAGGAAGGGCGCTGCCACAACCTCCGGAACCCTCCTGCCCCATGGGGTGCGGGAGCAAGGGAAAATGAGCTGGTTTTGGACGAGAGTGAGGAACTTGTGCTGAAAGAAGGGAAGCAGAGAAGAATCTAGATGCAGTATCAGGCTTCTGGAGGAAGTAAAAAGTGCTTTCATCTGAAAGCAGTTTTCAAAAAGAAAAGCACCTCTGCTGTCACACAGCTACACTGATACTGTAAAACCTAATCCTGGTCTGCATGTGACAGGGGCGTGATATTTCCTCCCAGGGGGTAGACCTTGCTGCTGCAGCTTCTGCGTTGCATAGGGAACTCGACTTGGTACCATGGGGCACTCTAGCTGGAGGTGAAACTGACCCAAAACTGCTGGTGGTACTGAATACAGCTGCTCAGGAGCTGAGCAAGCTGCGTTCCTGGCAGCCTGCTACCTGTGCTCTGGGATTTACACTGCCTGCCTTTTGGTCTCAGGGAGGTGCTGAGAATACTGCTGATGCCTACAAGGCCTCGTTAGTTTACAAGAGTGAGTGCCTGACACCCGAGGCTGTACCAACAAAACTGCAATCAGTGGATGCTTCAGTTCTTTTCTATTTGAAACAGACTTTTTTTCTTTCTTTTTTTTTTTTTTTTTTTTTCCTTCCAGTCTGTAGGCCCTGCATGTTTTCTCTCAGCTTACATTGCTATTGCCAAAACTCAGTAACATTCTGGAGAAGCTAGAAAGGCACAAGTTGACAGAAGTTTTGCTTCTATAATTGATAGAAAGGAGATTCTGATGGTTGGCCAAGTTTAACCTCTTCTCTCATATAGGTATTTAAATTTAAGAAATAAAAATTCATATTCATCCCTTTGTGAATTCCTACTTTTTTCCCGGTCACCACCTTGGCATCAACGTGTCATGTGGGAGACTAAAGCTGTGAAAGAATCTTGCTTTCTTTGATGAAAGAACCAGGTTTTCAGACAGCTGCTGCAATCTGTCTTTGAAGAATAAACTGTTGATGGTACTGTTTTTTTACAGGTCCTCTTGAATGGTAAACTGTGATTTAGACAAAGACGCTGCACTGATTGCCAGAATAAAGCAAGCAGCAGACAAATGGCAAGACATATGGTCAGACTTCTTCCTGTAAATTGCAGGAGCCTCACTTCAGAGAACAGGTAGGAAAAAAACTTATTTACATTTGTAAGATAAGGAAAACACTAGAATATACTTGTAGAAATTTTAAAGTATGAGTTTTTTAACCAATTATGTGAACTAAAGAACTGGTTACATATTTCTAGGTCTTGAGAAATCTCTTTTTACTACTGTTTATGCCAGTGTTCATGGACTGCCAGGTGTTGCAGTATCTTGGTGCAATTCACAGGGACCTGTTCCTCTCCAACATTGACCTTAACTACAAAATTTCTCCATTATTGTTCTTAAAATGAAATTAACCTGAAATTTATTACAGAAACAAATTCTGGAGAAACATTCTGGTCTAACCCAGCTAATTCCAAACATCACTAGGTCTGACAGATATGAAGAGTGAACCTATGATCAAAACTTGTATCATTTGCTTATTTATGATCTTCTTTAGTCTCTATGTTTGTGCCTGCTCTAACCTCCTTTCCTCCTCTCCCATGCGCGTGCTTACTCTGATTTTTCATTTCTTGCGGAGAGGTCAGACCAGCAGATGTCTTGCAAAATAGCTGTCAACCTACTTTATGTTTTGTCCTCCAGAAGTGGCCCCAACCACAGTAAAGACCACAATATCTTCTTCTGTCTCTGCCCCCCAGCATTGTATTTCAAGCTGACATGAAGGGTCTGGTCTCCCAGTTGGCAACCTTATTATAGTACTGGCTACATTTTAGTGTTTGAAAGGAAAAAGCTTGCCCACTTTAACACCTCCTGTTATCTCAGTAAAGTGATGTTTAAATAACTGAACTGGCTTCAGTGAACTGTAGTTGCCATTTTCCTGCTTCTTAGTGAGATAAAATGGAGATAATTATGAAGTGGATGAGCAGGTTTAATGAAAGCCTGTTTCTTTTGGTATATTCCTGAAGCAGCAATCATCATCTGTTTGGCTTTTGAAGAGCAACAATTATAATCACTTAAAATCCCAAGGGGAACAAAAATAGAATTTAGATTAGCATATAAAATATACAGCTGGATTGGGCAAGCCTATAAAAATCTGGGAAAATCATTCTAATTTGAAAGCTATTCAAAATCACAAGCAAAATGAGTTCAAGAGTATTTTACATGTTTTTTCCTTTCTTTTCCTTTCTGAAATCGTAACATAACAACATTTATAGGATTTTCCTAAAACATGGAAATGAAAACCCAATGCCAAGAAAGAGACTAAGTAAAAATAGGCTAAAGGTGTATTTTCAAAATAACAGATACATTTAGGTATTGTAACACCATCTTTAGCAGGTACTATTTTCCCAAAGCTCTGACATAAGTGTATTTCAAAGCCATGTGCTATACTCTAGAGCTGAAAAATAAAAATATCGCTGAGACAGATAGTTACATGTTTCAGCTTTATCAAAATTGAGCAATGATAATACCTAAAGGAAACTAATAATAGAAAATAAAATAAGTTGCAATGATACTAGCTGTGCAGCATAAAAATATTGAAGCTTTCTGTGATCATTTTAGGCGGTCATTTTTATAGTTAACACAAAATCATCAATGAGTGGAGAAAATTGTTTTCCTTATTCTGCAATGTCCAAATTTTGAACTGTTACTAAATAATCTGAGCTTCTGGAAATAAATCTTCACTTCAGTAAACTGTAACTCAAAGATGGAATAACTTTTTTTTTAATACTACTGAATATGTAGTACTTTTAGTAATTTTGACTTCAAATACGAGGTCTTCTTATTATCACTTAAGGTTAAATAAGACATTATGCAGTTGCAGGAATGAGATTCCAAAGAAATGAACTTCCCTCAAAAATTTTTCATGGACAAGAACATGAGGAATTTGGATTGCTTACTATTTATAATACCAAAGAAGTGCAAGCATATATTCTCAGTATATTAAATATCTCCTAAAAAGACACTGTCTTGCAAACTCAGTTTTATAGAGTAGCTTATGATTTTCATGCCTAAGGTTCTCTACTATGAAATACATTGCTAGCCATTGGGTAGAAGATACAACATAAACAGAGATTGTGATACCAAAACCAAGCAGGTCTTGAAGGCACAACTTTTATTTCCACAGGAGACCTCTGAAATCATGATTTAAAAATCAAAATTAAAGACTGCAGGATTTAGCTTCTACTACATTGTACACAAAAATATTTAAAGATGGCCTGTGAAACTCCTGAATAAATCTATTTTCCTGCATTACTCAGCCCTGTGATGAGCATCTTCAAGCAAATGTCTGTCCTTCCCCTTCCTCCACTTCAATTTTCCATTTTCTTCCTTTATTTATCAATCTCAATTTCAAATGATTTTTATTTTTTCATTATCCCCAAATAGATACTTTTTTTTCTATGTGTTACTGTGATTGGGTAAGCATTCCTTCAAAAGCGTGAATTTCCTGAACGCTGTGTGAAGGCCAAAAATTACAGCACACTTACTCATCCTCTCTCTTGCTTTAAGGTAATACCAGAGAAGCCCCAGCAGGTCTTTTTGACAGCCTTCCCAAGCCATCTGTTTCATATTCTGCATGCTTTGAACAACATAGTGTACCATGGGATGTAAAATCTCATCACAGCACATTCACTTTAAAGTAGACTCCAATGGTCACTCTTTTTTAAATATTCATAACAGAAGGTGGGACACTAGTCAGGGAACTAGTTTTGCTCTTGTTTCTTTCACCCCCTTCCCCACCCCCCGTCAAAAAAAAAAAAAAAAGAAAGAAAGAAAAATTGGCCTTTTAATTTTTAAATTAATTTAATTTTAAAATCTTGGTTTATATATATTTTAATGTTATATTTAAATAAATATATTAAAACACTACAGCATCTGGATTTAGTATCCTAGCCTGTTTTAATGAATATTTCACAGCTAGAGAGACAAAATTAACAGGCATTAAGATCTTCATATAGATCAGAATTATTGAAATCTTGACTTACTGGTAACTATTGGCTAAAGCTAAGCATCCTGTACTCCCTGGGCCTCAGTGACCACTCCTGCCACTCTGTTTATAAATTACCACTTCTGCAGATTGTCTGAACAGTCAGTAGGGCTACAGGAACAAGAAAGTGTGAAATCATGCCTAGAGGGAATAACCAGCTTTACTTCAGACCATGCTGACCCTAGCAGCTAAGACATGATGTTGGAAAAGTATTCACAGAGCCTGGAAACACTTTATTCACATTAAATTGTGTTGTTGACAGAAAAAAAAAAAAAAAAATTTGAAATTAGAATATTTGGAGATTTGTCCCTATGCTGAGGCTGTATATGGTCAAACCTCTTGACATTGTTAATGACATTAAGTATTTAGACCACATACTTTAAAAAAAAAAAAAAGTTCTCAGAAATGTGCCAATTTTGCACTTCTGTGGCCACAGATGACTGTGTATATTTAATTTCTGGAAGAGAAAAATAAGTCTTAACTCTCAAACTGAACATAAGCATCGGGGGAGGGGAGTTCTCTCCTCATAGCCCTGAGAAAAGCACAGGGACCAACATCACAACACTACCAAAAGACTGAGCAATACTCTGTGCTTTTCACAGAAACAACTTGTCTAGCCATAAAACTACTTACTGTTCACTGAGTAGAGTAACTCCCTGGTCATGTTAACCTTGATTTTTGTAACTGTAATCTCTAACAAATACAGCTCTATTTCTACTAGGGTAGACTAGCCTGACATTTTTGTCACTGGGTCACCAAACAACATCCAGTGCAAGCAACATAACTTGTGAAGCCAACTTTCAAGAAAAACACAGCTTTGATGAATGACACTCTGATTCCTAAATGAGTCAGTTTCAACACAGATTCTTCTTCACAGATACCTATGTACATTTTCTTCTAATGCCAGATGTCTCTGAATGCCTGAAATCTTAAGTACTGATCTTAATATCACCAATACATAAAAAAAGCAAAAGTTTGTTTTAAGCACTGAGGTTTAAAGGACTGTCCTGGTTTTGGCTGTAATAGAGCTAATATTTTTTGATTTTAGTAGCTAAGATAGTGCTGTGTTTTGGATTCAATATGGGTTTTGGTATGAGAAGCATGTTGGTAATACACTGATGGTTTTAGTTGTTGATAAGAAATAAAGGACTTTTCAATTTCCATGTCCTGCTAGTGTGAAGGAATATAAGAAGCTGGGAGGGAGCTTCCCAATTAACCCTCATCTACATACTACGCAGGACACTTAAGTGACTTCAAGAATTGTTCCTGAAGTATATATTTTAATGAGTTTTGGACTTATCTGACACTTACGGAAATTTAATTCCAAGGACTAGGCAAAATTACAAACGTTTAGTTCTCTGTAATAAATATGAGGCATGCGTATCCATGCAAGTATATCTGTCAATACACTGTTATAAATATAGAATGGCAGCACATTTGGGACACCCAGACAGTATTGTTAGGAGCATCAAAGATATATGCATTTCTCCAAGAGCATTTCTAAAGTTTTGTTGACTTTACAGGCATGCAGAATTATTTGAAGGATTTGGGTTAAGAGCTTTTATTACAGGAATTACCAGACGTTCAGGTTTGGAAAGTTAACTGGCTTTAACAATACTTGACCAAAATACCTTCTAAACAAAACAGTGTGTTTTTTTCTTTATTTTTTATTTTTCTGCATGTAAAATCTTATAAGGTGGAAGACTTAAGCATGCAATTAACTAAGCTTAAAATTTATAAGGTGCTGCAGTGTCTTCCTGAGTTAGGCTGAGATCAATCCTTAAATGTTTCTCTCATTTCTGTCTAATAGATAACTGCCTTATTTGAAGATAGAAGCCTTGCATCAACTGTGATCTTATTTTTCCATGACTTCCAATATGTTCTGTAAAAATGGGCAAAAGAGTCTCATTTAGAACTTCGATTACCAAAATGTCAAACTCTTCTGGGGAGGGGAATCATTACTGAAATTTAGTAGTTGAACCAGTAAGTAGTTCAATATGAAATCATGCTTTGATTTTATATTGGACTGCAAAACATAAACCTGAAAAGTATCACAAATCAAGATCTAAGTAAGACCTACAAATATTTCGGCAGATAGGAAAGCATTTGAACTGTTCTTATTTGATATGAATAACTTTCTGTATAATCATTTTGCAGTAATAAACCTTCAGGATAAAACAAATGAACGATTATTTTAAGGTACTAAAACAAGAGGTTCTTTTTACTTTGTTTTGTGAGTGTTAGTATGAAACTATTGCTGTAATTAACTTTTTTCTTCTAACAGAATAAATATCCTATGCCTTCTGTGCATTTTCAGTACTTGATAGCTAGAAACTGACAGGGACTTTCACACCTTTTAGGTGGTTTTATAAGGAAATAATCTCAAAGCATCATTTAGAAACTCATGAAGAAGCCGAATACAGTGCCCAGGAAGCTCCAGACAATCACTTTTGCTTTAAATTTTCAAGAAAATTTTTTCTATTTGATGCAGTTCTGGTACCTTTGCTGTTGCCCTTCAATTTCAATTCTCATTTTTCACACTAAGGCTGGACTTTGAAGTAAGAAAGTGTGATATTCACATGGATCAGAAGAATTTCAACTCATTTCCTACTCGTCTGCTGTAAGGTGTGTACATGGGTTTCCCACCCCTCCTCCTGTAATTTCACACTGAAGTCTCTGTGTATATTTTGCTCACAGTCACTGTTCTAATTTTCAGTAACTCTCCCATCAGACCATCCATCCATATATTCTTCAGGAAAGTAACATACACAATGTGACTGCATGAGCAAGCAGACTTTTTTCCTAGGTATTTCTAATCACAGAGGAACACAAAGCCTTTCCTCTACTATCATCTACCCAGACTATCAAATTTGTTGCCACTGTCAGACTAGATAATACAATCAAACCTTTCATCCCTAAATCTTCCAGTTTTCTTAGTTGTCAAAGGTTTTTATCAGCAGTTTGGAATAAATTAGATGTATTGCATTCTTAGCCTTTTTTTTTTTTTTTTTTTTAATGTTTAATGCCTGGTGTCACTAGTGAATAACCTGTGATCCCTCCACAGCCCGATGCAGGTGAGGGTCAGTGAAAGCACCCCCTGCACCTCCCAGCTACAGCAGAACGGGTGGGCTCTGGGCAGGGAGCACCAACGGGCTGCAAACTGGGGGGAGGTCACTGCCACCGAGGCTGAGCGAGGTGATGAGAAAACAGACTAATGGGCAGAGGTAAATGCTCCCTGTCCATGAAGTTAATGGCATTTGTGGTGAGTATATGCAAGAAAAGGGAGTTCCCTTCTAGTTCCAGGAGTTTCCTGAAAACTTCAACATCTTTTGCTCTCCATGCGCACCACTTTTCTCCTGCATAGTGCTTAAAATATAATGAAAATAAAGGGTGAACCATTAGTGGAAGATACTTCAAAACCATAAGTACTTTTAGCCCTTATATTCTGTGTGGTTGCTATAAAAAGGAAATATTAATATTTGTGGTAGATCCAGTTTCCTTGGAGAAACAGCCTGAGAGAAAAAAAACAACCAAACAAACAAACAAAAAACCCAAACCAAACTAAAAAAAACTAGCTACAGAATTACATGTACAGTTTACCACCCGCAGTTTATTAAAATGGTTCAGTTAACTGTAGCCAGTGCAGGGTCAAACTCCTCTGAAGTTACTGTCCCTAACGAATATTAAACTGAATGTACTGATATGTTTCACAGATTACTGACTTTGTCAGAGGAAGGCTAATATTTTTGAAAATAAGACAGTTTCAGGCAAGCTAAGACTGCAATATCTGTATATGCATCCAGCTGTATTTGTGGCAAATATGAACCTAAACATCACTGCCTTTGGACAGAAAGTATTAGAAACAAAATAAAACAAAACAAAACAAAACACCAAAAGACAAAAACCTGTTTATTAAAGATTAAATGATCTTAGGCAAAAACCTCCTGTATGTAGTTACAACTGCAGGTCTACAGCTTCCTACTTTCTTACTACCCACTGCAGACTTAATTTTTTTTTTTTTCTTCCTTATTTATACACTTTAGACTACCTGTGACTTCTGGCCACTTTCAATAACAAAAAATAGCCTAGAAGCATTACTAGAACAGTGGCTAGATTTACCACTGCTAACAATTATCTATATTGCTCCAAGTAATGGTGAAGTTAAATAATAGTGATTTACAGCTACCTTCTATAGAAATTATTCTGATATCCACAGAAATAAATCAGTGCAAGTTAATTATTACTGTCTACCATGCAACATAAAATCTATCTATTGCTAAATGTTGCAATGAGGAAAGTTACCTCAGGTAATCATGAAGTAAAGAAACTTCTTTATTATTCCTTTAGCTGGCTGAAGCAGCTGTAAGTATCCATCCTTTAAAAAATAAATAAGACCAGATTGATATGATAATTAAAATAAAATAAAATAAAATAAAATAAAATAAAATAAAATAAAATAAAATAAAATAAAATAAAATAAAATAAAATAATATAATAAAATAAAATAATAAAATAAAATACATAAAATAAAATAAAATAAAACAAAATAAAATAAAATAAAATAAAATAAAATAAAATAAAATAAAATAAAATAAAATAAAATAAAATAAAATAAAATAAAATAAAATATCAAGCAGGAAATTGCACTGCCGGGCTTGTTTTGTGAACTAGTGCTCCTCAGGACTGAGATGGGGTTCTTTGCTGCACAAGTACACATTTCGGTGTGCGAAGGTGCTATTTTTAAACCCACCCCCCCGCAGCACCGGTCTGTGAAGGACAAACGACCGGTGTGAAGGTCGCTTGCAGACGCCATCAGACCCGTCCCGCCCCGCAAAACCGCGGGTGAGGGGTGCGGGTCGGCAGCGAGGAGGAGCGGGGTGGGGGGGGGATCCCCGACGTGCCCTCGGGAGGGCGGGATCCCTCCCGGTACTTGACGGCAACGAGGAGGCGCGGAGCCGCCCTTGCCCAAGCACCATCCGCACTCGCGGACATCTCCCGCTGCCTCCTCCCCACCTCCGTAGCCTCCATCCCACCGCCCACGGGGCCGTCCCGCTGCGGGTGGGGCCCAGCCCGGCCCCACGGGGCAGCGGCGGCGCCTCCCGCACCCTCGGCGGCATCCAGCCGCTCAGCCCCGCACGCACCGCGGCTAGACACGGGGTTTATCTGATGTGCGAGGATTTTCTCCTCCACCCGCCCCCACCGACAGTGATTACTGTTTTGTTTTGTTTTGTTTTGTTTTGTTTTGTTTTGTTTTGTTTTGTTTTGTTTTGTTTGTTTTGTTTTGTTTTTAACCCCCATTCCAGAAGAAATCACATTTAAAAAAAAAAAAAAATGCACTTACCATTCTGACCTCATAGTGCTTTGTCATGGGCTTAGTTAAAAAAACAGACACACACACACACACACACACACACACACGTATTTATGCGTTTTCAACATAGTAGTGCTAGGGTCAAACAGGGAAGGTGGGGGGAAAATTGCCGGCGCTGTAAAGCGCATCTAGGAGAAGCCGCACGAAAGGAGAGCGAGCTAAGCAGCCCGGACCAAACACTCGCCCCCCGCCCCTCCCAGGCCACGCAGGAAAAGCAAAGGGAGGTGGGTGGAGAGGAATAGGTAGAGGGGAGGGATCCACGCTCGCATCCTACCTTGGGAAACGCCCGCCTTGTTAAGGGAAAAAAAAAAAAAAAAAAAAAAAAAAAAAGGCAAAACCTGCCGGCACGCAGAGCGACCCGCCCTTGCCTGCAGAGCCGGCGGGACGCGGCGGAGGCGACCGAGCCCCGGGGGGGCCGCTGGCCGAGCCCGCACCGCCGTCGGGGCTCACCGCCCCCGCCGTGCAGGCAGCCGGCTGTCGGGGGCTCGCCTCTCCCGACACTGTCGCCTTTGCCTGAAGCGGCTCCGCTGCCTCAGCCCCTGCGGCTGTTGGTGGGGAAGTGTAACACCATCAGTTCAGTGAATCGTGTCCGAAACGTTTCTCCGGGAAGATACTGCTCGTGCATGTTGGGGAGGAGGGGTTTCGTGTTGTCAAATGCCGTGCGGGGCACTGGCAGTCAACATGCACATCCACACATAAACTGGCATGTTTGCAAAATACCCTGCTCTGGCACACCCCACCCCACACTGTTTCTCCTTTCCTTCCCCGGGATTGGCATCACCCCTCTGTTACAACCTGTCTGTTAGCCCACACATCATGGAGCTATGGAGCCCATGGCCATAGACATCTTGGGCTGGAAAATATTGCGCTGCCTCTCCATCTGCCTTCCCTGCACATCACAGACTGGCTGCCTCCTCCTCCTTCGTCCTACAACTTCCCTTCATGCCCCTGGGCTGTCCACTAAAGACCTGAGCTCCTTGCTAATCCTCAATCCCTGTCGTGGCACAAGGGTGCACTTCATTCATTTGCTTCATGATGTGAGTTTGGATGAGTCTGTTTGGAGGAATCACACCAAAAGGTGCTGAGCATGCAAGGGATAGTGACTGTGGATGCCTGAAGTCTATAGCTCTAAAACTTGGTTTGCTCTGATGGCCTGGGGAGTTATTAGGTTCACCTCATTGTCTGAAGTGAAAATTTTCCAGCTGATAATTTCATTTTCCCAGATGCCCAAATACTGCCTGCGACCTTCAACATAAAGCTTCTCATCATGGAGGTGCCTTGGCCACTTCAGAGATTCATTTTCATCTGTCCTGGTTCAGTGGACAGACAGCTCTGTGACCCTGCTCCTTGCTTTTGTGCAACCTCTTCTCAACCCGATCCTTAACAACAGGCAGCTGTGGTGCTGGTATTGATGTTGCTGATACTGCCCATCTGATACACAGTGCTGTACCGGCCAGAGAACTTGGGTACGAAATGGGAGTAATTCAGGAATTAATTTTTCATATTGGGATGCTCTGAGGCACATCTCCCAACTCCTATCAGCGTTAGAAAAATTTCCCAGCATAGAAACTACTTACCTTTTTGTTGATGCTGTGCCAGTGTAAGGACTTAAAGACTCTGGATAAAAAGATGAGAAAGGAGAGGGAGCATAATTATATATTTATTATCACATATATGGCAATAGTTATCTCTGGTCTCTAACATCAGGATTATTCTGGGAAAGTTTTCAACGTAAGATTAAACAGTTCAATGTTAATTTCTGAACTACTCTCCTGAAGCATTTTTCCCTATGTGCTGTTTAGGGACCTTGTATACTCTGAGTTTTGCGCTGACAAGGCATATCCTGGAGTATCTAATTCTTAATTTTTTAAAATTCTTGCAAGTCTTTTATTTACCCTAGCTCATCTTCCCTCTGTTGTTTCCCCACTTATGACAAGTACCACAAATATACTGTTATTAACACTACTGAGATGCTTGTATCTACTGAAGAATATTAAAGGCGAGTCTGTGTATATTAGCTGCATTTCTCTATGACTGAGCTGGAGAGCAGAATACACAAAAAATTCACAAATATTTTGTTTCCAAAAACAATATACAAAGAATATATAAAAAATAGCATTATTCTCATGCATAAAAATATATACAATAGGTTGACTGTATGACAACCATGTCTAACAACCTAGGTTTTGGACCCCAGTTTTGCCAGAGAAACTGGGAGATGACAGCCGAATTTAATGTGTGACCAGGAAGTCATTGCGCTGACTTCTGCAGGAACCCATAACTGTGGACAGAAAGGAGAAGATTCATGTTTGGAGAAAGGCCCATTCCACCCATGGTCCGCATGGAAATGTCACTCTGATCGTGCATGAAGACTTATTTTGAGACTCGGTACAAAATGACAAGGGATGATACCTTGTCAATAAATGTTAGGAGGAACAAAGTCCTCAACAAAGTCCCTAAGCATTTGGAGGTTGAAAAGTTGTGGTTTCAGTTTTTGTGCACGGATGTGGGAAAGGAGAGAATATTGATTTGTGATGGAAGAAATTATAAAAGTAAGAAAAAATGGAGATTATGTTGAGTATTACTTCCTTTTTCTTTTTGCTTATTTAGAAAGTATAGATTGGATGTTTGCTCCAAAAGACTGACTAGAGAAGAGTCCTGTCGTATTTGCAAGGTCAACCGGTTTTTGGAAGCCATGTCCTTCTCTGCTTATTTCATAATGTCTCTAATCCTTCTTTAGCTTTTACAAGCACTCCGCTTCATTGATGATATGTCTTGTTAACTCTTGAAACCACAGGAGAGATTATTATGCCCTGCGGTGGGCATTAACTTTAATTATATTCTTTAGTTTGCTCTTAGGTTCTTCTATGTATTTCTAACCTGTTTTCTATGTTCACCGAGTTTTAAATTACTGAAAACATTTGGAAAATTAGTGAATTTCTTCAATATTTTCTGGAATTCATGGAGATCGGGATGATTGTATCTTTGAAAAAAGGAGTCCTTTGCACTGATGAGATTTCTGTCCCTCCAAAAATACAATGAATAAGATAAAGATGTAATTAATGTAGAACACTAGAGTAGATGGTAAAGATTTCCCTTTGGTTAGCCTACAGATGTATTGAGAAATGTGTTTGAGAATAAAAATTGATCAGATAATGTGCCACCATGTTGGTTACCATGGACCAATTAACTTTCTGACTGAGCTTTTTTGTTTTTCTTACTAGAGGTTGTTCTTGTTTGTCTGCTGTTCTGGTGGATTTTATACCAGATTGCAGGTAGCCGAACCTGAGTCAAGTATGGATGTAAGGTTTCAGCTCTCGAGTCATTACAATGTCTGTTAATGAGACATTTCTAAGCCAAAATTCTTCTAATAAAACTGCATTTCCTGTTTAGGTATCTGTCTTCACCATTTCAGCAGATTTTATGCTTTCACAATCTGTGTTTTTATGTTGATGTTATTTATGTAACATATGACAAACAAAGAACAATTAGTTTCTCATTAGCTGCTAGGCAAATGTCATGCCCTCAGATTTTAATCAGCCAATGCAAATATCATCAGAATATAATCTACTTGCTCCATTCTTCTCATTATATCCTCTAGGATCATGGCTAATATTTTTCATTTCAATTCATGTGTATGAACTTATTTTTAGATCTGACTTGCTGAGTATCTACTGGTTCCATAAATAGTTAAGTGTTTTATTTTATTAACAGTATTATAAAAAAACCCCACTTGTTGTTCATTGTGGATTTCAGTGAAAACATGTCTTCCTTGTGGACTCTGGGCAGTGAATATTTATAAAGTATAAATGTCTGGACTTGGCTTTCTGCCAAGATGCGATGGCTTAGGCTTTCTGCTCTATGCATCTCATGTCACCCAAGGTGGCTTTGGTCTACCATCCCCCACGTAGCTGAACTGCTTCCTTAAGTGGCCTGTTGCTCCTGCTTGGTTGATCAAGGTTCTGTGCCTGAAGAAGGCCGGGGTCTTGTGGGAAAAGGCAGCCCCATTGCTGTAATTCAGTGCTGGGAGGATTGCAGCATGCGGGGGAGTCCCACGCCGGAGCAGCTCGGGAAGGGCTGCAGCCGTGGGAGGGAATCCAGTCGGAGGAAGTTAGTGACCCATGACGGAGCAGTGTGGGGAACGCTGCGGCCCATGGGAGGGACTCATGTCGGAGAAAGTTTGTGGAGGACTGTCTGCTGTGAGAGGGGGACCACAATAGAACAAGGGAACAAGTTCCAGAAGCTCCTCGCACTGAAGATAGAAGAAGTGGCAGCACTGACTGCACCCCCCATTCCCTGCCCCTGCGCCACTGGGGGAGGAGGTAGAGATATCGGGAGCAGAGCTGAGCCCGGGAAGAAGGGAGGGGTGGGGGGAAGGTGTTCTCAAGATGTGGCAATGTTTCTCACTGTCCTACTCTGTTATGTGTTGTCAGTGTCTGTAATAAATGTATGTTCTTTTTTTTTCTTCCCCTAACGAGTCTGCCTCTTGCTCGTGATCATAAAGGGGAATTTTTCCCCATCCCAGTCCTATCTCTAACCCCAAGCCTGGCTCTCTGTCCCTTCTTATTGCCGGAGGGGAAGGGAGAGAGAGCTGCTGCATTGTGGTTGGCTGCCAACCAGGCCCAAACTACAACACCGCTACTGTTGTGAACCTCCACTCCTTCAAACTCCTTCAAAATTCAAGGGAGTTTGAGGGAAAAAATATGCCAGTGACTCTTTTACAAGAAGTTGTATCTGTTTTTACTTGGGAACTCCTAGGCAGGGAGTGTGTTAACTTTCAATCTGGTCCTTCGAGCTACTGTTCTGTCTCAGTCCTCCACAGCTATACTTGCAGGTTTTGCCTTCAATTAAGAACTAAAAAGAACTCCACTGAATGTGAAAACATGGGAACCAAATGAAAATGTAAATTTTTACTCAGAAAGTGAATAGACAGATTTGAGAGTTGCGATGAGAGATCATCTAGCTGATGGCTAATAAAATGTCTGAACATCCAAATTGTGTACGGTTTGAAGGGTTGCATTATTTATCCATTGTAACAATTAACAAGAAGCATGCTAATCACACCACTACATCTGAGAAATAACTTTGCCTTAATTTCTCCCTTCCATCCACTCTCCATCCATTAGGAAAAAGACCTTATGGGAATCCTTTTCGTCTTAATGAGAAATATCTGTATGTGGTTCACTCCTTTTTATCTAGTTGCATGGCAAAGAGCTTTTTCTCTCTTTCAGGAATTGCTTAAGCGACTCTGGAGGCTGGTCACTGAACAGAAGTGGAAGCTGGCTCATTATGAGGACTACAGTTAGATATGTGCATTAATGGGTGTACAGTCATCAAGAGACTGTTGTTGCTGGAGGAAATTTTTCCTGTTTTTCACTCTAACTTGATATAATCTTAGGGGGAATGTGTACTTCTATTATTTTATTCTGAACAAGATAAACTAACAAACATTTCTATGAAAGACGGATTTTTGGAAGACAAGTCCTTGCCTTTAGGCAAAGAAATGTTTAAAGACAGAAAAGCAGACTAACACATTTGTTTTATTTTGGTAGCACAGTTCAAGTGATTTGATTCTAATGTAAAACTATTTTTTACATTCAAAGTGCCTTTCACTAAAACATATTAGAATGAATCTAATTCAGTATCTTCTTGGTCTTGTGAGATAACTGTGTTTTTATCATACATTGTGTAAATTGGTAAACCCAGTCAAAATCAGTCAATATTTCCATCATCACTGGAATTCCTGTAATGAAAACCTGAAAATTCGAAAAAAAGTTACAGGTGATTTTACTATATACTTGGAAATGTTGATGCAACAGGTCTTTGCAGCTGTACTTCATTTTAAACACAAATTCCCTTTTCTCCCCACACCAGCTCCTGACGCTGATTCAAATAGGTGTTGGACATACTTAAATGCTTCAGGAATATGCATAGAAAATAGCAAAAACTGATGAAACAAAACATATGCAATACCCAGTATTAGAACAGTTGTTAATTTAGCTAGTGAATTTCATGACAGAAGTTCCTACTAAAGGTAAGTACCAGGCCATATGTGCAAAACTGTATATATACAAACCTTTATATTTTGTGCGTGTTTTATTACTATGTGTAACAGTAATAAACTTCTACTGTGTGTAGAAGTCTTTGATGTAGCATCGTAAAAGATTACCACTAGAATTAAAGGCTCCTAATATTCTTCAGAAATTATTACTTTTCAATTAAATGCATTTCAAATGTCTAAGGTTTATTAGAAATTTGGTTTAATTTGATGATTTATTCTGACCGTGGGAACTTTGCTGAAGTCAGGCTTCTGAACATACTCTACGCTGATCAACCAGGCTTTTGAGGAGGGGAAAACGAAGAAGGATGTAAACAGATTGTGTGGGGATACATTGTTAATTTGCTGTGCAGGATGTTTTGATGTTAGAATAGGCACCCAGACAGAATTGAAAGAATGCATGTAATACACTTCTGGTCATATGCCACATGAGAATCTGGCTGGATATCCCTTCAGCTTTAGTTTCACTGTATTTTGATATAAGATGGTTGGTGGCAGGAAGCGTTCGTGTGAACCTGCAGCCTCACAATCTGTTGGTGAAATCCTGTCTGACTGTCACGAGGCCAAGATTTCCCTTTATATTTCAGACCACAATAAACTTGTTTTGTGAGTGCAAATGAATTCCTGCATGAAACGCAGCACACAACAGGTGGTTCTGGGTTTTATGTGAGAGTCTGGCTGCAGCAGGATTTTACAGCCAAGGAATAATGTTGTGAGTAATATGGTGAATGGTTACGAAGTGTGAAGGATCAATAGCAAGAGCTATTAATTTCCATTCTCACCTCAGACCCCAAGTGTGTGATTATATTTAATTCAAAAATCATATTTACAGGTAAAACACAAAGGAGGGAAAATCAATTTTTTTCTATAGACTGCAAGAATCACTTCCTAAGCTTGAATGCTTCACAAAACTCAGAAAGCACTCTTCACAGCGGGTTGGAAAAGTAGCTTAATTTGGAAGGCAATGAGCTTGCCATGCATACATAGGAGGTCCCATTCACTAACTTGTTGTGGTTTTGTGTTAACATCAATAAATACTGTACTGTTCCCTCTAGACCAAATTTTTTCCTTTCTACCTCAGATCAATGGCCTAATGATGCTTCATCACGCTGGCTGCATAGTTTGGAATTCTTAAAATAAGGATTTTTTTCTCTATCCAGATTTCTTTTTTTTTTCTTCTTTCTTACAACTAACAGATTTTTAAAAATAATTAATGGATACTCTGAATGAGTTAGGTTGAGGAGGTGTAATAGAATTAGTAATGCACAAATTTGAAACACAATTAAATTTCCATTAAATAACCATAGACCTTTTGTGAGACTTTGTTATGATCACCTAACTTTGTAATGGGCATTAAAATATAGTTTTCACTATCATCCTCTTTGGATCTTTTTTTCAGCTACTACAGGACACACTATAGTCACATTCTCCAAGCTGTTCCTGTCCTTGTAAGGTCCACAGGTATCTGACTGAAATCATCATTTCCTCAGAGATGACCAGCATATTAGTGAGTCAGACAGATGCCCAAGGAAATGTAAGAATGCAGAAATAGAGTATAACTTATTTATATTGTGATCATTGCATCATATATGGTTTGATGCATAAAATCACTACTACCCTGTGAATTCCTCCCCCCCCCGTCCCATACACATATTGGATGGAGAATGCTTCATTGTCTTTATATAAATCTAGGTGAGATTCATGAAAAACAGAACTGCTATTGGTGTTACTGTGCAATGGCTTCTGAGGACAGGCATGACACTGCTGCCATTTGAATTGCTACCAGTTCTAACCACATGTCCCACTTCAGACATATGAAAGGTCTTCAAATTGAAAGAGATATGCAAAAACCTTAACTAGGGAAAATAATTCTGTGCATATTTTTTAAGAACTATGAAACAAAAAACATGTCCAAGTTTCCCTAAACTAAGAAACAACAGATAACCTTCATATACACATAGTAAAATAAAACAAAAGACAACCACCTTTCTTTAGCTAGCAATTATTTGGGTTTACATGTTTATTTAGTAAACCATAAGGTTGCCTTGCATGTGCACGGCACAATTAAGTTATCACCTATACAAACACAGGATGAATGGTGTGCTGAAAACACACCGGTTATTCAAAACATCTCACCAAGCATGACACTGACAACAGAACTAGTATTGAAATGGGAAAAAAAAAAAAATCATTATAACAGAATTTAAATACTTCGTATTGTTCCAGGAATAATAAGAAGTAAAAGGAAAGAATAATGAGATGTAAAAGGAGAGAGGAAGTAAAACAGACAACTAGCAAACAATAGCTAATTTCACTGGTGCAAGTAATTTTACAGAAAAATTATACATTCTTTACTTTCCAGGCAGACATTATTGTGTTGGTCTTGTGTGGCCAGGTTTTGGTAGCAGGGGAGCTACATGGGTGGCTTCTGTGAGAAGATGCCAGAACCTGCCCCCATGTCCAACAGAGCCAATGCAGCTGGCTCCAAGACAGACCCACTGCTGGACAAGGCCAAGTCCATCAGTGATGGTGGTAGCACCTCTGGGATAATGTATTTAAGAAGCAGGGAGGGGGAAACTGTGGAGCAGCATATGGAGAAAAGAGTGAGAATATGTGAGAGAAACAACTCTGTAGACACCAAGTTCAGTGTAGAAGGAGGGGGAGGAGGTGCTCCAGGTGCCAGAGCAGAGATTCCCTGGCAGCCCGTGGTGCAGCCCACGGTGAGGCAGGATGTGCCCTGCAGCCCAGGGAGGTCCATGGTGGCACAGATCTCCACCTGCAGCCTGTGGAGGACCCCACGCTGGAGCAGATGTATGCCCAAAGGAGGCTGTGACACTGTGGGAAGTCCGTGCTGGAGCAGGCTCATGGCAGGACCTGTGGCCCCATGGAGAGAGGAGCCCACACTGGAGCAGGTTTGCTGGGGGGACTTGTGACCCCGTGGGG